TTCAAATGTATTAGGGAAACACAAAATATTCAGATTCAAACGTCGGCTTTATTGTGACGTTGCGGCAAACAGGGACTGTGTCTGTCTGTCCATCAGTCACTGTGCTCATTCCCCATCTAAACTCCTGCCTCTTATTAGATTTCATCCATAAATAATTGATGACTTTGCACCTCCCCCTTCTCCCCCAATCTCACTCCTCCTGTCTCCCCCCTCAGTCAGCTGTGGAGGATGCTCAAGGTTGAGCAAAGTGATTTTCTATGTGCATTTTTTTATAATGCAGATGTCTGGGTGTGTTGGGGGTGAAGCAGAGAGTGTCCAGGTTCGTTTGATGGGTGGCCCTGATAGAAATACATTTGGGAGCGATCTTTTAATACAAGAGCAGAGTGAAACGTAATAAAGCAAAGTGCATTCACACAATAACAATATCCCGGAGTCGCTTTATATTAGAGTAGATGAAACATTTATGATCTACTTGCAGAAACTGGGTCACAGAGGAGGAAGCAAGCTAGACAATCATTGGTTGGACGAATAAAGTATGTTTGGCGACAGTTAGACAATTATCCTGAAAATCTGCACGATGACAAATACAGTGAAATAAGTCATGAAAAACATTTGGAACAACTCTCCCTCAGACTCCATGTGTCGTCAGGCATTCACACCACCTGGATGGTGCTCTGACTGAAACTCATTGTCTCTATATACTGCATCTCTTTGTTTCTCTCTTCCTCTTTACTGTATATGTGCAGTCGTGTGTGAATATGCATGTGCGTGAGAGCTGATCAGTCATATTCCCCTGAGAGCTGAATGATAAGAAAGCTGTGTGAGGATTCTATCTGCATCTCGTCAGGATTGTTTCTGGCCCAGAAAACAGGAATTCATTAAAACAGAAATAAAGTGTTTGTATTTTCATAAAGCTTGATCACCACTCAAAGTTAAGTTTTTTAACCATTCACACAGCGCATCTATGTGCAGCACTTTCTCTAGGGGAACGGTATTTCAGTATCTTGCCCAAGGACACTTGGAGAAGAAGGATGCAGAAGATTGGGATTGAACCAACGACCCACTGATAAAAGGACAACCCGCTCTACCCACTGAGCCCCCGATAGTATGAATGATTTTTTGTATTCTATACTAGGAATTTCCATGTTCCGACCAAGAAGCTGCACAGCAGTCTATTCAATATCGTCATGTCTTCTCATTATCCCTGCCCCAGTTTCCAGACAATCATTGATTTGCTTACGGTTTAGAAGAATCCATGAAGCTACAACCATTTACAAGCAGGTGCGGAATAAAACATGCTGATATTTTTCATTATAATCATCAATGAAAACATTGTGGTCTGTGTAATCTGGGTGTTAAAGATCAAAGCATCATAAGCACAGTTGTTTAGGCACTGGATCGACTCTTCAATGGCCTGTTTCATCAGGTAATATCACAATAAAGAAGAAAGATGTCATTTAATGAGACCTTTCAGTTTATTCCATTCAAATATCTGTGTTTCCTACATACTCACTGTCCGGATCACTGATCAGTGCACGTGGCTAAGCAGCACATGTGAGAATCCAGTTTCGTTTTGTGACTTTTTTTATGTTTGTTAAATGAAGATTCATGTGTCCAAATGAGATAAACATGTCACAGAAAATCACTGTACAGTTAAACTCTCCACTGTGTCAAACTTACTTTGATCATCACAGCTGTTGTTGTTAATCACTGCACCAACTTTTATTGGATTTTGAATAATTTGCAAAAAGCACTGACCACACAAGGTGTTCCATGTGAGTTAATGTTGTGGATGCTCATGATTCATCTCATGAATCACATTCTGCAGACACATCGTATCTCGCCGCACGCTGCGCGCACACACACACACACACACACACACACACACACACACACACAGTGCAGCTGCAGTCATGCACACTGGATCAAATGTGCACAAATATAATTTAAGTGACTTGCATTCAAATCAGAGCATTGATTTCTTCTGTGGCCTCAGTCATGTGCAGTCCTCTAGTGGTTGAAAGCTGATATGAGTCCCTACATTTTAGTGCAAATGCAGACCTTTGTATTATAAACATATTTACCCTGGTGCATTAACAATTTTGCATTGATTGGTGTTTCAGCTGAATGAGTTTCACAACCGCTGACTGTTGTCTTAACGTGTAAGAGAAGAAGCAGCTATGCCCTGATAATGTTGGAGGTATGTATATGGGTTGAAAGTAAGCAGGCTGAATCCATGGGGGGGCAGAGAAGATGAGACAGGGGAGTGAAACAGAAGAACTCCGATCATTCAACAACTCTCACCGAAGCATGTAATCCTCGCCGGCTCTGTTGAAACTTCAGGGTCCAAAAGTAGAAGTGACCCCGGACAGAGTTAGAGCATGTATGTGACCCTGTGACCTGCAGCCACTCCCACTGGAAAGAAAAGACAAATGGCTTATTGAAAATATGTTTGGGATTTTGTTTTGATTACATCCGGACAATCATATATCCTCAGTAGTTTTTCCATTTAGCATTTAAAACATATTTTTAGATATTTAAAAAATTAACTTCTGGCACATGTACGTAAAAAAGGAGAACATGTGCATAGAGTAAGAACATATAAGACAAGAGAAATAGGATGTATATTGCAACATTTTGCAAAAGAATAAATAAATGATGAATTCATTCTATATTTAATGTATCGTAACAACCACCAATTACATTTTTAATCCCATTAACCAGACAGTATCTGACAGTCTTATATCTTCCTTTTTCCTTAGTTATAGGAATCAAATATCAGTAGCCACAGTTTTATATTTACTTTAATTAGTATGTCAAACTAATGTATATAATCTGTTAAACAAAAAGAATAAGATCTCAAGAGGCATCTGATGCTGCTCTAATGGGGATATTTAACCTAAAGACTCTGGCGCCCCCCACAGTCAATTTTAAAGGCTGCACCTCATTTGAATCCACTCGATAGAGAGCAAACCTCCTCCAAGGACCAACAGTCCCTTTAAATTCAACCAAGCTAAAGATATACGCGACACTTATCCTCTCAGAAATTGGTGAAAACAAGCTTTAATAAAGTTAAAAAACTACCTCTGATCCGAATCCACACTAGATTCTTGATGACTCAGCTGTTTTATAACAAATGACAAATGTCGTGCTAAGGAAACAGAATCATCAAGTGAAGGTTCTCACAGTTACAACACGTATCCATGTGCACACCAGGATGAATGTGTGCTGCTTTAATTTCACCTTGATGACAAACAAGGCTTCAATAATTCAGCCTCTCTGCCTCCCTCATGTTGTGACAAACAGAGGCCACATCAACACTAAGTGACAAAAACCCGATGACGACACCATCTGAAACGCTGTCGTCTTGACCTTTTCCTCTCCCTCCTTCACCTCGTTTTACGATTATTGTTATTTCGCTGGCGTTTCTCTTTTATTGGACAGTATACAACGATAAGTGACGGACACCTGAGAGGGAGAGGAGATGTCATGAACAAAAAGGAGGGGGAGGAAGGGGAGGAGGGGGAGGAGGGGGAGGCCTGCCTGACGGCCGAGTGTTGTAGTTGTGGTGATAATAAGCACACTCCAAGCACAACCACCGCAACATCACATAGATTATTTCAATGAACTCTTGGTGACATTTGACAGCGAGAGCTAACTGACAGCAGCAATGACAAGTGTCAAATGATGTTAAATTCTTTGTTACACTGATGTAGTGCTCAAATACAATTAAAACTATTACAGTTACTATGAAATTAATACTCTAACGGTTAATAATTGAGTACTCTTACTGTTACTGTAAAATGAAAACTATCACAGTTACTATAAAAGGAGTACTCTGTCTGAGTACTATGTTACTATAAAAGCAGGTGGTATTTGTATTTGTGTCTCTCTGAGGATACATGGTGACATAATAATAAAAGGTCTATGAGTGTTTCAGATGTAGAGTCTCATTTTGCTGTTTGACTCTTCACAGTTCACAGTTTGTAGACTTCATCTGTTGGTGTGATGTGCACTGACAGGAAGTTCGAAAGGCGTCCTCACATCTTCACAGAAGCAGTGCAACCAAGAGTCAACAGGAAGTGAAAACCCGAGCGGATGTATGTGGCTCGTGTTGAACATCATATATACTCATAACATTACACTCTCATAATCACTTCTCATTTATTTTTATACGGAAGCATCTTGAACTGATGTTTCCTGATGTGACATTCAAAATAAATTATGTATGTTTAAGAAATGAATTCAAATAAGTAAAATGACAAATTAAAATAGATATATTAAATTATTTATTTAGCATATGTGGAGATGATTTAACAAACAAAAAAAGTCGACATCAACAATTATCATTATCAATGTCATGTTGTTATGTCTTTGAAACAGAGTTTTGCTCCTGAGTGAAGGGTGTGGTTTTCAACTCTTCTTCATAAACAGTAACTGTACTTGCACAATGTGTAGTATTGTATTGTACTGTAGTATATTGATTACATTGAACTTTTATTATATTGAAATTGATGAAAACTATATTGTAATCATTTTATTGCCCAATCCTTGTTGAAAACATTTTCTTTGTGCAAACGTTTTTATTTTAGTGGAACAAAGGTCACCAATCACCACTTCCCTTTTACACCCCTGCTAGTTTTCATCACCACTCCTTCACACTATCCTCTCTATCTTTCTTATCTATCAACACTTTTTCATCATGACCAGAAGGCAACCTTCTTTCATTTGACCTGTCAACTTGTCTCATTTCGTTCTTATCAATTCCTCTCACCACTCGTCCTCTCATCTCGAAACAGGAAGTGTCACGGCTGCTGCCGGCTTCATCTCTCTCTCACACATGCAAATTGTATTCAGCGTCTCAACCCTCAGAGACGCAGAGAAGACCTGTGGTTCACACTGATGCTGCTGCTCAGAGAGACTTTATCTGCCCTTTACTGCATCCTCTCTCAGACCATCCATCCATCCATCCATCCATCCATCCATCCATCCATCCATCCATCCATCCATCCATCCATCAGCCACCTGCAGCTGGAGCTGGAGACATGAGCATGAAGAAACTGAGTGAGTACTGTGAGTGTGTGTGTGTGTGTGTGTGTGTGTGTTTGTTCTTGTGTTTACAGCAAGTCATTTCAGTGGTGATAGGGATGATAATGTCCTAGTTGTCTTTCGACTGCAATTCTTTTTCACGAGAAAGACGACTTGCACAGAAATGAACAGAAACTTGATTTGTTCTGTTTTGTCGCGTCTGTTCCAAAACAACACTAGTAAATAAGATAATTAATCGAATAAAGTTTACAGTTTAAATAAAACAAGTAATCAAGTGAAAAAACAAACATGCAAAAAGTCTTATAGTCCCATAGATTTGTTATATTTTAATAATATTAATTATGTTACTACTAATATATCTTTATCTATAGGACACAAAAGTACAAAGTGTTTCACAACAGAAACAAATAATTAAAGCACATCAATAATAATGGTTATATTAATATCAAGTGTAAGTATTTAAAGTGTAGGTGTTTGAAATTGGGTCATGTATATATTTGCATATTAACATGTGGGAATTTGATCACAAAATGAAATCAGCAAGAGCAAAATAAAAAGGTCCCCTCCCATGCTGACTGATACTGACACACAAACACAACTGAGTAAGACCGTATGCATGCACCCACTCACACACACACACACACACACACACACATCCCACATGCAAATATAAATAAACATTCACTCCACAGCTGCCGATAAAAACTTGGTTGACTGCTTCTGTATCTCGTTCTGAGTGATATGAGCAAATTTAATATTTATTTTCTGCTTTGGTGGAAAAACAAGCGTAAAACACAACATTTGACATTTTACCTCCACAAATACATGTCCAGTAGACATGGACAACATGTCTCTCCACCTGATGATTGTATAATAACTCTAAAGTTTTTACTGATTGCTGATTGAAATGTTATGCTTTTTCTTTTACTAGAAGTTCTACTTGATCTGCTGTTTAATGCTGAGCTCAATCTGCAAAACGTCTTATGAGAGCAGAACCTGAAAGTCAGAAAAAACTAAAAGACACTCAAATACTCTGTAGATCTGACTGAGCTGTGGATAAATTCTCTGTGGGTTTATCAAATGCTTTCATTTGATATTACTGTAAATCTTTGTGCAGTTTTAATTGACTCATGTTCTTAAATTCTCTTTTTTCCCCTCACTTAATAATCCACTCGATCCAAATACTGTCCCCTAATTTCTCTAGATTAGCTCAACCTCTGCCAAGGCCCAACAGTTCCCTTAAATTCAATTAAGCTGCATTTAATTACACACACTCATACACATCTGGCCCGTTAATATGCCAGATTTTTTTCATCAAGACTCATGAATTATTTATTAAGAAATTCACAGAAATGTCAACAAAAAAAACACTTTGCAAAGAAAAAAGTGTCCATGCCAAAATAGGATGGGTTCTTTCTTGGCCCATGTCGCATCCTTTCAGTGGAAATGTGTTTATCACTTTCTGTGTAATCCTCTCGACAAATTGAAAACCAGTGGACGGGGGCGTAGTTACAACCTTCTTGGAGGGGATGATACATTCCCCAACTCTTTCCTGAAACTATGAAATGGTTTAACGCATGATTAAAAATGTATAAAAACAGTTGAGAGGTTGAATGAGAACACAAAGTGAGAAATGAACGAGAGAATATTGACAATCCTTCATCCTGTCATTTGTCCCTCTTCTTTTTCTTCTTTCAAGCTTTCAAGTGGTTCGGCAGCCTCACCAACCTCACTTTCCGCCGCTCCACCGACAAATCTGACTCCACGTCTTCTCCGTCAAAGTCGGATGTACCCGGAGATGGCGGTGACCTCTCAAAGATCCTGGCTCCGGTTGCTGAGACGACTGTGGACGACTTGGGCGCCATGCGGCCTCGCACTGCCAGCTACGTGCGCTCCAGTGAGAGCTACACGCACATGGGCACGTTGCCACGGCTACTGTGGAAGAAGAAGAATAACAAAGGTAAAGTGGAAGAAGTTATGATGCTGGAACATATTACTTTTGTTCTGTTTATCACTGATGGTCCTATCGTCTCCAGGAGGCCCGAGCAGCAGTAAGAAGAGCAGCATCAGCAGAAGTCAAAGCCAGCGATCCGCAGGGTTCAAAGACCGTGACCACCGAAGAATCACGCAATCCCCCTGCAAAGTGACCAAGGATGATGCTGCGATTAAAGTGGACACTGGGACGCTCAGTCAGGACTCTGAACCACCAGGTGAAGCCACAAAAACCCAAAACATCATCTCTGCACCTACAGCTGCCTGCAAAGAGGTGGCGCCATCTGGTGGTTCAGGTGCTGCACTGCAAACAGAGAGGAGATGCAACGAGGAAGTGGTCACCCAGGAAGGTACACACAGGAATCCTGAGGAGACCTCACCACTTCCTCTCAGCTGCAGCAAGGAGCAGACTCATGAGGGTGAAGAGTCAGAGTCTGGGATTTTATCTGAGGTCACAGGGAGCACAGAACCGACTGAAGGAGCAGATGAAGGAGACTCCAACGGCACTCACAGGTTAGTGTCTTCAGTAACAGTAACATTTCTAAAGCCTTCTTCTTCTTTAATGGACAAGAAAGACAGTGAAGGAGGATGTAAACGGACTTCCCTCCTGTTTTGAAGGAGGATGGAAGAAAGGTTTCTAACTTGGGGCGACTCACATGAACCAAAACTTATCAACGACATAATGATTGTGGGTTTTTATGCAGTTTGACACTAAAGAGGCTTAATGTTCTTCCTCTGTGCTGTCAGGTTTTCCAGGGGCCTCCTGAAAGCTCCAGTCTCAGTGTGTGTCATCTTGTTTTTTGTAGCTTATTGAAACAGGAAAAGGCCCTTTGTCGGAGTCAGTGCTGGAAAGTAACTGATTAGCGTTTGTTTGTCTGTTAGTTAACAAGATTGACCAAAAGCTACTGGACCCATTCCCATGAAACTTGGTGGAAGGACGCAGTGTGAGTCAGGGAAGAACCTGGAACATTTTGGTGCAGATCCAGTTTTTTTCTTTCACTTTCTTTGACTTTGTGAGAAAAGGCATTTTCATTGATTTCTTATAATTCATGGATCTTGATGAAAAAAACCCAGATATGTTTAGAAGACTGATATTTAGTGTGTGTGCAGTTTGTTGCAGATCCAAATAAAAATCCTGATCGTAAATGTGTTTTCGTAACAGGACTGTGGGTCTTGGCAGAGATATGCACTGGTTTTTACAAGTTTTAATTCACTTTGCTTGACTTATTGAGTAATTTTTTTGTGTCGTGTTTTCTTTATACATCTATTTCACTTTTAATACTTTCTTACGTTCGCTTGAATAAAGGAATCGATTTCATTTTAAACCACTGCACAAATCTAGTTCGGACTCCTCCACTACATCTGCTCTGTGCTCACAAGGGGCTCATCTTTAAATTAGTGAGAGCTTGATGGAATTACCTCACAATAAAAATGTCCTTGCTCGTATTTCACCTTTAATAAAACTGGACGTGTATCTCAGAGAAAACTGGAACAAGGTCATCTGGGGCCCAGTATCCACATTTTTGCCCCAGGTCTCTGTGGCAGGGTTAATCCGGTCGTGCTCTTTGCGGAGGCCAGGGGGCGTGGGTGTGCAGTGTAAGCTGTGTGTGTGTGGAGCTACAGTTTAGTTGGTGGGTGAACACTTCATAGTAAAGAACTGACTTTGTCGTGTCCTGGATTTGTCTCAGGCGATGGTGAGAAACAGAAAGATAACATACTTCATTACGTGACTTTATCTTTTTAAAGCAGCTGATGTCATTGATTCCTTTTATTGATATTTAATATAAATTCAAACTAACCCTGGACACGTACAGAAATAATAACAAGTCTTTGTGTTGCCTATTGTGTTGCATTTTATGTCGTTGTACAAAAGTGTGAAGTGTCCTGCAGAGTATGAAAATGTGTCCCCTCCGCCTCCTCCCAGCCGAGCAGATTGCATTCTCTCGCTGTTTCCCATGACATGCCAGCCTCTCTCCACGCATGATGGCAGAGTGTGTATCATGTTACAGTAGGATTCGTGTGTGTGTGTGTGTGTGTGTGTGTGTATAGGCTGGAGCTGTGCAGACATCCATGGAGTTGTATGTGTGAGCGTGCAGCATCAGCCCATTAGGTCATCCCAGAGACCGTGGGAAATACAGTTTACTGCAGGTTCAGGGTGGGCACATCAGAAGAGCTCCCCCTCCTCAGCCTGACAGTACATCACACCTCCTTCAGTCTCTCCGTCTCTCTGTCCACGTTCTCATCCACTCACTTCTTTGCCAAAGTTACTTTTCCTGGAGAACCTCTTCAGGTGTTTTTGGTGGCTGGTAAGAATCGTCTCCTCTGTCCTGGTGTGTGTCTTTTCGTCACCTCAGCAGCTGTGACTCTGGATTTTGTCCTTCAGTCTCATTTTAGGCCTCGTGGAGTAAAGTGTTTACATTTTTTGGTTCTGATTCCTGAAGGGAACAGTAACAAGGATCGGGGATGATCCTCAATGTTGAGTCATGTTATGTCCCAGCTGGAGTTGAAGCAGTCAGATGATTAATGGATTAATTCAGAGAAGTAATCAGGAGCTGTTTTGATTTCTGGTTTTCTGTCTCAGATGTGAGGATTTCGTCACTTAGCTCTGACAGTGAAGTGAATATTGTTTGGTTGTGTGAGGGAAATGTTACAGGGGAAAAAAAAAAGTTTTTTCTGGAGACGGATGCAAAAAGGTGTTTTGTCTCTGCATGTCTCATGGAGCTACTCTGTGGGACAAACATATCTAAATCTGGGCTCATCTCGCCAAAACCATTCTTGTGTCTTTTCTATCTGTCTCCAAAAATTGATGTTTTGCACCTTCCTTCAGTTGTGACTTAAACTTCCTACACACACTGCAATAGAGAAAAATGAGTTGGTATCTCTATTCATTGATCACAATGTTTTTCAAGCAAACATTAGTCGGATCCAGCTTCTCATTTGCTGTTGTCAAGTTAATTTCAAGATATATTTTTATATATAGGCCAAAAGCACAAGTTTCTCTTCTGCACCTGTTGCTGTAGGTGTTTCTAGCATTGATGAGACACAGTGAAGTCTTATTGAAACACATTTGTTTTGTACTAATGAAGTAAAAGTGAAATGAAGCATATGTGGAGAGATTTGCACCCAGAGAACATTTCAGTTTCAAACAGTGATCACACACAATCTGAATTTACTTTTATTCAAGGTTTTAATTGTCTTCTATAGTCTCAGAGAATAACCACAGCTGGTGTCTTCACAGTGATGCAGCTCTTCTGTAACATGACAGATGCTCTGATCTCATGTGCTGGTTTTCAAATCTTCATGTAGGATTATCCTGTTTTGAATTTTCAGCTGACTCACATTCTTTCTTTCTTTCTTTCGTGCAGATATTTTCAGTGCGAATGTCGAACGCAGATATTTGTAAGATTTTGAGCAGATTCTTTTAGTGCTGGGATCCAGCACCGGAGCAGCTTGGGAGGGGAGCGAGCTGCTCTGCCATGGGACCCATTAACATTCCCGAGCCCAGCGCGGTGATGGGGCGCTTTGATCTGGCCCCTCTGTGGTCATGTGTAACACAGCTTTACGCCAGGCCTTATGAGACCCATCATGCAACTGGGAGCTGTTACTGATTGATGTTAAAACTTGTCTGTGGGTGTAATTACCCCTTCTTGCTCTGCACAGCAGATCCCACAGAGCCCCCCCCCTCCCAGGACTGCAGCACTACAGGGTTTTTTGTTACATGATCTGGATCCACAGTGTAAATTGTGAATTATGGAGCCCGAGAGATTTGAGAGGCCAGCAACCTTAGATGCTCAGTGGGGTTTGTTATCTGTCCGTTTTCCATGAGGCCGTGCTGCGGCAACGTTTAACTCGCCAGAGAGGCCGCTGCAGAAATGGGTCATGGGAATACAGGCATGTTATTTTTAAGTCTGTGGTAACACTGCACCTGTTACAAGATCAGATCAACACAAAAAAGTGTGTGTACATTTTGTGTACTTTTTCACAGATATTTATAATCAACACTTGCTCTATATCTCTTTGTTGGACTTATTTTTCTCCCCCTCACTCTCGTGTGTTTTTCTGTTTCTTCAGCCACATGGAGCCAACCGACAGCCAGGCTGAATATGTCCAGGTGAGTCTGCTCCGTCCAGATGTGTGAGCATCTGTTAGTGTCTGTATCATCGTCTGTCAGGGTGTGTGTGTGTGTATGTGGTCAACTTCTTTGTACATACGTGGAACTGAGTCATTTCCCACAGAAATCTCTCTCATCAGTCAGCATCATTAAGCCTGAATGATGATCAATGCTCCATAATGACAAACATGAATATGACTAATCATTATTTTAGTCTTTACCAGCACAATGAAACGTAAGATGTTGTCAGGGACAAAGTAGTCAAAGCCACAGGAGTACATTTCAAAAGATTGGGATTTATTTCACACCTAAAAGGAATGAAAAATAAATAAAATAAGTACTGGCCCATTAAAAGAGATCAACCTAATATATAACCATATCTTTTAATATAATGTGCAATATCCAATATTACTTACTCCTTTTTCACTTCATTTCTACATATTTCACATTTCCTGGTAAAATACAGTAAAATACCATCACGTCAACAGTGTTTATTAAACTCTGCAGCAGTGTTTTGAAGATAAAAATGAGAACAGCATTTGAATATATGGGAATTTATTAGAATCCAATGAAAACAACAACCTATCTGCTCTCTGTGACACACATGCACATACATGCATATGAGCTGTGTTTTTAAGCCTAAATGAGTAACTCAGTTTGAATCGTCTCGTGTTATTGAATTAGGTTATTTTAAACGTAAGCACTCAGATGTAATGGCAGATGATTATTAGCCCTTAATCTCCCTCACTCGCGCTCATTTCAGCTTAATTCACTTTGCCATTTAGCTAATTAGATTTGGAGGGAAGCGGCGCTCACGTTTGCAGGAGCCAGTCTGTGCTGCGGCCAGCAGGTGGGGCCATACACTGGACTTGGTAAAGAAGTGAGAGCTTGTGTGAAGCTGCCTCATGACCTTGGAGGGCGATCATCGGCAGCCTGTTACTACAAACACACGTACGTTCAAGTATTGGACTTTAAAGTTTAAAGCCAAAGTGGAGAGTGAGGAGAAGAAAGTGAAGCTTAAGACGGAAAGAGAGAGGGAAGAAGAGACTGGAGTGAAATGATGAGCTCCTGGGATGTGTCTTTCTATTGATTATACATCACAGGAGCGGTGGTGAGAGCCCTCTCCTCTGACCCCGGACGGAATCTCTTTTGTAAAACAAATGCATCCAACTTCCCCTGGCCACCACAAATCGACTGCAACTAAATCCCACAACAAAAACGTTTAAATGATTCAGTTCTATCACATCTCACTCTGATTGACTCAAACTTACATTAACTTTAACAGTGTAACGTTGATTTTCACACAGATATAATGAACTAATTTGAATCTTTGATAGCAAACACAACAAAACCTAAGTGTGCCGATATATATATAGGCCTTAACAAAGTATAATGTGCGTATAATGTCCACACATCCTTCCATCCATTATCTATACTGCTTATTCTATAGGGTCACATGGGACGCTGCTGCCAATCCTAGCTGACGTTCAGTGAGAGGCAGGGTAGACACTGGACGGTCAGCAATAACTTGTCAAACATTGTTTTGCAATCCAAAAATAAAGGTTGATATTTTAATTCCTAGTTTGATTCTGGGGTGTTATGTTTCAGTAGAACGTTTTGAACTATGCCTTTAAAATGAGATGTCCTTACACAGAGCACCATAGTGACTGTTTATTAAGGTTCATGTAGAACTACTAATTTTAATGTGATTGTTTTTGCCACAATTGAACTATTTGTAGGTCTGTTCTGTCACTAGGAGGTGATGTAACATTTTAAGACACAATAACTGGGACTAACCCCGGCACAAAATATCACCCAACTTGTTTTTTGATTTTAAATAAGCCTGACGTGTGCGTGACTAAGCTCTTAAAGTGAATTTTCAACATATTTCTTTCAAGATGAGCACATCGCTCCGATTTTAAAAAGGGAGGAGGAGAATTGTGGTCGCTTCAACCTGAACTCACCTTTTTTTCTTGTATGCTTGTTGGTGTTCTGCCACCCATTTTAGTTTTTTCTCTTTTCTCACACACCACCCACTCACCGACCCGCCCGCCTCTAAAGAGCTTCCAGCGGGCGGCCCGTCGCCTTCCATTTCTCTGAAACATTTATGGCAGCTGATGTTTAAATCAGGAGTTGGCCTCAACGTTCTCTGTTATAATGGGAAAAGACCAGGCTCGCACACATGTACAGATACACACACACATACACCAACACACTGTCACACACAAAACAGAGAGAAAGGCAAACAAACTTGGCTCAGAGAAAATAAACGAACAGTATAAGAAAGGCTCCGAAGCTTTTGGGACAAGCTCTTCATCTGTTCGGCTTTATCATAAAATATCCATCATCATGCATTTTTCATGGGGAGGCATGGCTGGTCAAGCAACATCTAATGTTTTTGTTTTTGTGACTCAAAAGACATAAAGAGCTGATTCAGACTGGTTTGTGACTGGTGAAATAACATTTTTAAACACTGTGGGTGACTTGTATGTATGTGTATGTGTATGTGTGTGTGTGTGTGTGTGTGTGTGTGTGTGTGTGTGTGAGAGTGTGTGTGTGTGTGTGTGTGTGTGTGTGTCCTTGCTTTATTATTGTGTGCGTTTGTTTTCGCCTGCAGCACGGCCCTGCTTTGTCTCCTGTCCTGTTTAGCTGCGTGGAGCTGGATTGATGGGAGGAGCAGAGCGGGGGAGGTGGGACAGGGGGGTTCATATGAGTTTTATTAACATGTGTGTGTGTGTGTGTGTGAAGGGGGACTCAGCTGTGTATCATGTGTTACTGGATGTTTGATTATGCGAATGGTTTGAATTTCAAAAATCTGTATGACTGTGTGCCATCTGATTAACTGAGGGCAGTGTGTGTTTATGCGTGTGTGTTGTGTTGTGTGTGTGTGTGTGTGTGTGTGTGTGTGTGTGTGTGTGTGTGTGTGTGTGTGTGTGACAATTACAGTAGACTTAATGAATGTGGCGCCTCTGTAAATGAGTGGGGGTGTATAATGTCAGGGCTGGTCCACGGTAACACACACCCACCCCTGTACAGTCTTCAGTTGTTGTTCCATGTGCAGACAGACACACAATCTCATACTACTTGCTTAATACAAGAAAACATGTCATTTGGCCGATATGAGCCTTTCGTGGAGATCTGTATCAGCGAAAACTTTTATTTTACAGAATGAACAATGCAGAAAATATGTGCATTTACTTTTTAAAGTTTTCTTAATTCAAGTTCCTGGTAATATCTGTGTTTTCTTTTAATTATTCATTTCTTAAAATAGAGTTCAGTGTTCAAACTGTTAAATAAGAAGACTGTCGTTATCTGCCCCAAAAATCCATATCGCTCGGGGCTCTCATCACAGGCCGAACATCTGCAACACTGACTGGACAACAAGAAAGATGAAATATTTACTTTGCAAACTGCCACCTCAAAAATAACCACAGAGTTGAACCAACACGTCTGGTATTTACCTCAGCGCCGTCGTATTCTCAGGTGCTTTCCTCATTCTGTCCACTTTCTTCAAGGTCAACACGCTCACGGTACACAGGACAGAGAACAATGACACATTGATTGGCTCACTTCTGTATTCCCGTCAAAAGATGTGTCTAGTTGCCAAGGCAACACACTCACGTAAGGTTACAGTCATGTTTAGTGCGATTAAAGCAAGATGATTTTTAATTGTGCTATTTCACGTGTGTGTGCGTGTGTGTGTGTGTGCGTGCGTGCATGCGTACGTGTGTGTAGGTCACAGGCCTCTTCTCTCCCTGCATCATTATTGCAGACTGATGTTTCAAACAGGCTTTGAAACACATATCTGATGGTTCAATACGGATTACCCGGTTTGTGAGGAGGGGCCTCCCTGTGAAAACACACCGATGACAATCAGACACACACACACAGATCATTAGCTGTACCCTCCGAACCCCCAGCGGAGCTCCGTCTTTGTTTTAGACGTGTGCACACATAGACACTCAAAGACGTGTGTGCACATATAATCTCGATGTGCCCTCAGTGTGTCTCTTTTCATCTTTTTACACACATGTACACACACACACACACACACACACACACACATTTTGCTCTCTCCCTTCTCACACACTCTCTCTCTCACTGTCTATATTCCCTCTCCTTCTGTCTGTGCACACACACATGCACGCTCCTTTCATTAGCAGGAGGCTTGCAGGCACATGCAGGGATTCTCCATTGTGTTTCCTATCAGCCTGCGGGATGGGGCCACACTAATTAATATATAACAGAAGACCACCTCCGAGCAGGGGAGGAGATGCAGAGATACTGGAGGGAGGGAGAGATGGAGGGATGTCCATGGAGGAGAGAGGGGAGAGGACAGAGGAGAGAAGAGAGGTAAAAGATCAGGGATCAGGGGGAGGAGGAGGCTGGAAGGAGGAGGTTAGGCTATAGCGATGAGAGGTTGGGATAAGGAGGAGGGAGAGGTGATAAGGAGGTTTTGGAGAAAGGTTGGATTCGACAGGGTGAAGAAAAAACTGGGAGACCATGGATACAGGAATGCTGAAGAGTGAAAGGATGTTTGAGAAGAAGCTGAAAAATTGAGGAAAATGAATAAATGAGGACCTGGACACAGGTTTAACATATTGTAAATATAGAGAATTAAATCAAGCTAGATATATTAGTATACATGTACATTTAATATATATGTATATTTAAAAGGATTGGGAGTAGTAATATAAAAACAACATATGTTTTAGGAAGTATAATTTTGTTGAGCAGCTTTTAGCTAATTCACCTTACACAGCAGCACATTTCCATTATCACCTGTCTGAGCCCCTCACACTGCCAACGTTAGTGCGAAGCTCGGAGCTATGGCACACGGTCAACGCTTTAAACTCTGCATCCATCATATTGTCGTGTGTTTTCCACGTGTGGCGCAGGCAGCCGCCAGATGTGTCGTGCTGTATATGTTGTGATTGTTTGGTATTACAGGGGGATGAAGGGGGGGGGGCACAGGGCCCCTCTTATGAGATTATTTGTGT